AAAGAGTAATCCAATCTGTGGTCGCAAAGCAACCCTGCAGGGCTTCTTCATCATCCTGTGACCATTTTCTCACAGTTCTTCTTGTCACTGGTTGCCTCTGAACAAGTGGTTTGTATTCTGAGCAGAGAAAAACAAGATTGTGATATGATTGTCCCAGAGGAGGTCTTGTTTACATTTGCATAACACAAATCCAATGTCTTGTTTTCTCTGGTGGAGCAGCTGACAAACTGTTGAAATGTTGGAAGTGTAGCAGAGAGCGAGGCATGATTAAAATCACCAGATATAGCCACAAATGCATTGGGGTGCTAGGTTTGTAGCTTAGCGACAACAAAACTGATGGCATCACATGCACTTTCAGCAATGGCTGAAGGTAGAATATAAACAGTTGCCTAGACAACACTGGTGAACTCTCTTGGCAAAAATATGGGCCACAACTTACTGCCAAGAGTTCAACATCTGGGCTGCAGAGACGACATTTCACTGAAACATGACCTGGATGGCACCATCTGTTGTTGACATGCACTGCCACTCCACCTCCTTTTCTTTTCCCACTCCTCTTCAGATCTCTGCCTGCTCGTACAGTCAGGAATCCCGGCAGAGAGACGCTGGAATAGGGGATATGGTCCTTCAGCCACGTCTCAGTGAAACGCGTAACACTGCACTGCCAATACTCTGGCTGAGTCCTTGAAAGGGCTTGGGGTTCATCCATCTTGTTGGCCAATGATCTCACATTGCCCATTATGATCGATGGAAGAGATGGTTTGAATTTCCTCTTTCTCTGTCTCCGTTTTGCCCCCGCTCTGCACCCACGCTTCTTACGTTTTAGCTCATTTGGGATTTGTGGCTTCAGTTGAAGTATTATATCAGCCTTTCCAATGTTAATCAGCTGCTCCCGATTGTAAACCAGCTTGTTGCCATGGTTACGGATCTTAACAAATGCTCTAAAAGTGATAAAATAGCAGTAAAAATCTTCTAAGCTGCACAGCACCAGAAACAGAAAAGTAAAATATCAAAAAAAAAAATACCGTTTTTCTTGAGAAACTAGAAGAAAAATGTCCAAAAAAAGGCAAAACTTAAGTATAGTCAACAGAGCTACTCCAACAGGCAATCATCCAGAGCAGTGCAGTTCCGAAACATGAACCAGGAACCAGTTCCACCAATGCACTCGAGTCACTCGGAGAAATCCAGGTTTCTAAACTATAAAGAAATCTGCTTATTTATTAACAAAACAGAAAACAAGCTCACAATGATTCATTTTATATGTTTTCATAGAAAACATTTAATTATTTAATGTTATACAATAATGAATTTACAGGAAGTAAAATTTTACATAATTAAAGACACAAATATACAAGATTAAAGAGACAACGTGTGGTTTTTACCATTAATCTCTGGAAATATCCTTCAAAATGTTGTTGAAAATTAATTAAGTGATGCCCAGTAGTTGAACAGTATTGGTGGCTTCATAACATATAATCATAAAAGTCTGTTCTAGATTACATGGGAGTGGGTCTAAGGGTGTTTCTCAATGTCAAGGCGCCTGGCCTCGACAGGTGATGTCTTGCAAGGCCAGGCGCCACGAGGATGCTGTCCTTCCTTGGTCAAAGAAAACGGTTAAATTGAACAGACTTGCATGATGTTTGCCACGGCTTCCGCGGCGGTCACGTAACATCACGTGACATACAAAATAACATTATATTTTATACGTATAAGTTTCAATATAAATATAATGAGCCTTTTACTTTTTAAATTGTGTATATATTTGTTAAGTTAAATATATAAGCGAGTTACTACCCTAAAGCCTACTACCCGGAGTAGGAAGTGACGCCACCATCAGCGTCAGCTCTGAAGATGTTTGCAGCCACAAACGAAACTGTCAGCAAGGTAAAGAGAAACCTAATCTGTGTTTAAAAAAGAACCAAAAATGGAGTTACTACCCGCTAGCCACTGAAGCTGCAACTACTAAGTAAATAACCAACCATAGATAACTTCTTTGGATCTAAAAAAAACATTTCAGATATCAGCCCGATAGCTACAATTAGTTGACTTACCTTTCAGCTTGAAATTTGCCTTTGAAGTAGCTGCCAGCTTCGGGTCGGCCATCCTTTTAAAAATACTGCGCTGTATTTTGGGAAATTTTTGACCAAGGCTAGGCTACAAGACACCTTCCGTGTGTCCTTGCTCAGCTAGCTAAATGGCTAACAAACAGAGAACACACACCTCAGTAGAACACGAACATTGGAACAAGCCTTGGCGGTTCCTGATGACGTATCTCTGTGCCAATGTCTAAGTTGTGGTCATGCTAATAACGAACTTTTAAAAGCTGATAAATCTCAAAGTATGTGATTGGCGTGTTAACACCCATCATTAGATGCCATTTAAATTGCAGTACAACATGTGTGCGATCCAGGGTCTAAGGCTAAGTGGAGTAGAAAATAGCTCATTTAGCCTAGTTGACTCTTATTTGTTTTTTTGTTCTTCCGGGGACCCCTGAGCCGACCGGAAAGGGAAGAGACTTAGGCGCCCTATATAAAGTGACAGAGACTGCAAACTTGTGATTGGTCAGGACGCCGCTTCCTTTAACTTTGTCGACAGCACTGCCATTGTCCCTCAAACAATAAAGGGAGCCCAAGATATTTAACAGCAGACATGGAACATATTGAAAAACATCTAGCAGAAAAAGGCCATAATTAATGTTTATTCACCCATGACTGAAGGAGAACAAAGATACACAGCAAGCTCTTTATTCGTGGAAGAAAATGACGAGCACATGAAGAGGTGGAGAATGAAAGGGAAATGTATGTAGTACATGTGTGTAGTATGTAGTGTTAAAAAGTATCTGAAACACATAAACACAATATGAACACAATAGTGATGCCAATCACTGCCTCAGTGCTGCTCTCTCTGTCCGCCAGGCGACTAGGGATGAGCCGGATACTTGTTTCAGACGAGTATCCGGTACGGATAAAGCATTTTTGAAGAATACGAGCATGAAACGAGTAAAACTCGTAAATATATGTAATCGTGCTGAAGGGAAATCCTCATTGGGTAACTGACTGTCTTCACGCTCTGTGATTGGCCAGTCACATACATTGCCCGCCCCTCCCTACACACAAAACTCTACAGCCGGGAGCTCAGTCTGGCCCATCCATCCACACACACACAGACAGTAACGGATCTCTCTGTGCTTGCTTCACTGTTGCTCACCTTTCTTCAGTGCTCCCTAGGTTTTCTTCAGCTCGCCTCTTTTTCGGTTTAATATTAAAAGTTACTTTTGTCGTAACGTACATGGTGCATTTGACAAGACAGAGCTGAAAATGGCTCGTGCTGCGTCGGTCACTGCCTCCGCTCTGCTCCGGTTGCCCCCCCCCCCCCCCCCCCTTTCTTGGTTTGATATTAATAAACTGTCACTCAATTTAAAAAAGACTAAATTTATGATATTTGGTATCAAAAGGAACTTGACAGGGAAATTAACTTAAAAATATGGAATGTTGAAATTGAAAGGGTGACAGAAATTAAATTTTTGGGCGTGGTTATTGATCATAAAATAAAATTGAGACAGCATGTTTATTACATTAAAGGAAAACTTTCTAAGATTATAGCAATACTGTACAAATCAAGACATAAGTTGAATTATGCAGCATTTCATATCATTTATTGTTCACTCATACTACCTCACATTTCATACCGTGTGGAAGTCTGTTGACTGACCAATCAAACGTTAGTTAGTGCAATAGTTCTCTTACAAAAACGTGCAATACGTATTATTAATAAGGCGGATTATTTGGCACATACACATCCATTGTTTTTAAAATTACATGTTATGAAATTTAATGATTTTGTTTACTATAATATAATGCAAATAATGTATAAAGCTAAATTAAAGTTACTTCTGCAAAGTATACAAACGTTTTTTTTTCTTGTGTAGAAACTAAGTATGACTTTAGAGATATTAATACATTTATTGTTCCTTTGGCAAAAAAAAAAAAAGAAGTTAAATGAAATGTATATCTGTGGTGGGGTTAAACTATGGAATAATCCCAGTGTAAAGGTAAGAACTTGTGGTACATTTTTGTTGTTTAAAAGGATGGTTTTGAAGATAATTTTTTATGGTTACAAGAGTTTATAAGTTGTGCTGTAAATGTAAGAGTATTGTGAACTTATTTGACTAAATGGTGTATATTTCTCTTCTTATTTTCTATTTTGCTTAAATTGTACAGATTTGTGTTAAAGGGGTAGATTAATTTGTTTAATTTGTTAAAAAGGTCAGGCATAAATATAAGCATGTTTCTTCGGCCTGAGCCTTTTTAGTCACTCTAAATGTAATTAAATGTAATGTGTTATTGATTATATTATTATGTTTTGACTGAATAAACTCAATTCAAATTCAAATTCAATTCAAATTTCTTTGTATGCAATAATCCATACACTTAAATATTAATGTTCTGATTTTATTGAAAAACTTGTTCTGTAACAGTTTCTTTACTATTGTGATCAAAAATATTTAATCTCAGTTCTGAGGCTGCTCTGTAAATAGTTTTTAAATAAACAATACACATAGCAACTTCTGATCAATCCATATCAATGTCAGACTTAAAATATTGATGTAAACCACACCCACCTCCGGGTTAGACCACGCCTACTCCGAGTACAGATACAGATAATTTAGATTGTTGAACAGATACAGATACAAATAGTGATGTACTCACTCATCCCTACAAGCGACACCTCCTTTAGGAACAATTTTCTATCAGGATGTGACTCACCCTTTAAGAGGCCCTTTCAAATAAAAGCACACCTTCAGTTGATTCATGTTGGTCCAGAAAAAACCTCTTTAATTACATATTCAGAGATTAAATCACTTTTTTAGTGGAGCCTTTATTTGTGCCGCCTCCTTTTTGCTAAAATGTTCCTGATGATCCATTGTAGACAATGTGTAATGTTCCTGACAGAAGAGGTTTTACTTTTCTGTGACTAGTCTCCTCTCTGCATTGTTGTAGTGGCATTGAACAGTCAGCCTGTGAACGATGTGAAGAAGAGCAGCGAGCAGAACGACGGCAGCCGGACTTCAGGAGAAGGTCGGGTTCCTGAGGGAGAGCTGCTGTTGCAGGTTGGTGAGAAGCTCAGTAAACAAACCTTCAGGACCTCTGAGTAGAGCATCTGCAGGCTGTGGTCTGATGGATGAAAGGAAACAACAGAAGCAAACCTGAAAGATATAAATATGATGTTTTATTTGGCTTTCAGTCAATCCATCCATCTATTCTTATGTGCTTATCCGCGGCCGGGTGGCGGGGGCAGCGGCCTGAAGAGAGAAGCCTAGGCTTCCCTCTCCCTAGCCACCTGGGCCAGCTCCTCCGGGGGAATCCTAAGGTGTTCCCAGGCCAGCCGAGAGACATTTTCTCTCCAGCGTGTCCTGGGTCTTTCTTTAGGTCTCCTCCTGATTGGACATGCCCAGAAAACCTCACCAGGGAGGCATCCAGGAGGCATCCTAAATAGATGCCTGAGCCACCTCAACTGGCTCCTCTCAGTAGCTACGTTTACGTGCGCCAAATTTCCCCTTTCTGATTCAAGTTGATTGGAAATCCCAAATCTCTGTTCATATGGACACTAACTGAAAGGATCCGATCATGCTGTGAGTATACATACACCGAGCATTCAATCAGATGAAATAGGTCGAGCGTGCTCAGAGTTGTTTTTCCCGGGGAAAAATTTTTTGTAAACGACATCTTGTCCACACGCATTTTATGTTCCTATTCTCTAACTTTGTCCGTTGATTTACCTTTCCAGCGTTTTTTAATTTGGTCGATACTTCAGTGAATTCCAGCTTCCTGCAACTTTAGATGCGCATCGAGACGTTCAATAATCTTGAGCTCCCGTAGAGTTTCCAGTAGACGGACCACTTCTGTTACCTCCCGCCATGTTATCGACTTGTCCTGAGCGTCTGCAATGGCAGAAAGACGTCACGTTAAATTTGCACACATGGGCACTGTTTTACCCCAACATTCCGAATGGATGTGTACATGGACGTCAATCGGAATAATAATCGGACAAAACCTCCTCTCTCAATCGGAAGGAAATGTCCTTCCGATGGAGCTGTATCGGATCGGAATATTCCGTGTTTATTTGAGGATTTTTTGACCTGATAGGGCATTCATTCCTATTATTTGTGCCCATGTAAATGTAGCTACTGAGGAGGAGCAGCGGGTCTACTCTGAGCCCCTCCCGGATGAATGGGATTCTCACCCTATCTCTAAGCGACCCTGTGAAGAAAACTTATTTTGGCCGCTTGTTCTTTCGGTCCCCGCCCAAATCTCGTGACCATAGATGAGGGTTTTCTATCACGACGTTTAAATAAATCATCAATTAAAACCAGAGTAGATGATTTGGTTCTCGGCTTTGTAATGTTCAGGAATTTCACTAAATACTTTTAAAGGAAAAGGGAAGTCTGTGTTAGTGCACACGTCTGATCGTGTCCTCTTCAGAGACCCCCGGGGCTTCAGGAAGAGCTCCATGGAGGTGTTACTCATCCATGTGTGACCTCCTTCCTCCACATCTTCACTCTGATGTCCTCTTGTCACCTTCCCTCTGCATGGAGGATGCTCTCATCCCAGTTATTTTAGCTTCATCCTCTGCTGCCTCTTTTCTTCTCACTAAAATCTTCAGTTCCTGCTGGAATTTGATTTGAGCCAAAAACAAAACAGGTTGAGTCAGACGGATTAGTCTGATCCCTCCTGCACGATAAAAACCAAACACCTTACTGGATCTATTTCTGACGTTACACGTTATCGTTGGTGGTCCGATCTTCTTCATCTTCTCCTCTGTTATTTGTGTTTCGTGTCTGCAGGCCCTGAACGGCTTCGTCTTGGTGGTGACGGCTGAAGGAACCATCTTCTTCTGCTCCCACACCATACAGGACTTCCTGGGCTTCCATCAGGTCTGCAGCTTGAGTTTTACAGACTGAGTTCACAGCCAGTGATGGCATCGTCTTCATCTGATGGGGGGGTTGGAACAAAAAGCACTTATGGAGCTTTAATCCACTTAGCAGCACAACAGAGCGCTCTAATCTCATTTTAGAGGAGGCTCATGAATTTAGCCTGAGTCTTGGCGTGACACACACACACACACACACACACACACACACACACACACACACACACACACACACACACTTTGCTTCCTGTGCTGAATAGAGGTGTGATCTTCACCTTCCTCCCTCATTTCCCTGTCCACCTGAGGCTCGTCGTCTCATGTTTACCAAGCAAACACCAACATTTAACATAGCTGCAAACCTCTCATGGTACACACAGAATCTGAAGTTTCTTTAGGTGGTTCTGATGAGCCCAAACACAAAAAAATATGTTGAATTGATTTTTTTAATCAGATGAAGACTGAATTTGATTATCAGAGCAAAACACTCAATCCAGAACCCGGGAGCTCAGACACAGACTGGCAGAAATGTTTGGAGAGCACTTCTTTTAACACTTGAGCCGGTCTAAATCTCTCGTGTTGACCCAAGTCTGACTCCTCCCCGCTGGGAGGGCGGTTCTACTCACATCCAAAGCTGGGTCAGTCTGGTTCTGAGTCTCAGCGGGTCTCTGGCTTCAATTCAGAAATTTGAATCCAAAACTGGTTTCTCTTCACTTCAAGGAACTCCTCGACTGAAACAACCTGCAAACACAGATAAGATGTTCAGATGTCCTTCCCCCCTGACCCGTTAGAGTCCTGTCCACCCTCTGGACCAGGGGGAGTACGCCAGCACTTTGATTAGAACAGGTCCGGTATTTCTGTACTTTCTCTAACTGACCATAAAACGTACAGAAATCTGGTTTAATAGAACTTTCAGCTCAAAACAGCAGATTTTTACCGTCTGTTTCCACAGAATGATGTTTAATTTATTTTGTACAACAGAGTTTGATCTGTTTAAAATTCTATTTTATAATTTATCTATTAAATTATCACCTCCTCAGTGGTCTAGTGGTAGAGTGTGCCCTGGGACTGGGAGATCGAGGTTCAAATCACGGTTGGATCATACCAAAGACTTTAAAAATGAGACCCAATGCCTCCCTGCTTGACACTCAGCTTTAAATGGATATTCCACCCCTAAGTAAAATTTTGTCTATTTCCATATTCCCCAGAGTTAGATAAGTGAGAAAAAAGCATTTTGTAAACATTTCAGTAATTCTCCGGGTCTGGCAGCAGTCCGTCTGCTTTAGCTTAGCATAAACAATGGAAGTAGTGAATAGCCGGTACTAGCATTTTGTGTGCAAAAGTGATAAATGGTACATGGATATAACTCAGCAGTCGAAAGAGCCACTGGCGGCTGAAAAACGGCAGTGCCATCCATGTTTTGTAAAGAACCAAAAGGAAGTGAATGGGTGGAATATCCCTTTGAGGGGTTGGATTGAGGGTTAAACCACCATGTAGTTCCACAGCTGCAGCTCACCGCTCCCTACGGGGATGGGTCAAATGTGGAGATGTCGTTTCACCAGTGTGTGATGATGACTATGGGACTTTCACTTTAAAAGCAACCCTCTTAGTTCTGAAATCGGATTTTAATCTCCAGTGAGAGTTTATTTTCTTTTATGCTTTATAAGGATCGACTTTAATCCAGAAATGGTGTAAAGTCTGTTTCTGTGAGTTTAAAGGCCACGTTTTAGCTTCTGCTAGCTTCTGATACGATAGGATCTGAAAATCACACCGTCACCTAACATTCATGGACTCACCCAAGACTCGCGACGGGGACGGCTGTTGTTGGTCCAACGTCCAGGAAACAGCAGAGAACGCTCCGACTAGCAGAAGCTAACTGACAGCATTAGCAACTCCACCACACAGCAGAACTCTTCCAGACTTGTGTTACTTATGGGGATAAAACATCAACGTTGCAAAGTAAACAGAGTCAGTGGTAGAGTCGCGTTTCTGTTAGCCAATCAGAGAAGAGATGTGAGAAAATAAGACTCCAAATCCTGTCATCTGAAGCTCAGCTCTTGTAGCTCACATACATCCTGAAGCAGTTTTTTCCCCACAAGGAAATAATTTATACTAGAGGCCATACATGTGTTAAAAAAACACAAGTCAAGTTGCTCTTTAAAGGTTTTTAAGCAAAAGATTTAAACGTCTGAGCTTGAAATCAGCTGATGCTGATGTTTTTTTCCTGTCAGACTGATGTGATGCACCAGAGTGTGTTTGAGCTGATCCACACTGAAGACCAGCAGGAGTTCAAAAGGAATCTTCACTGGGCTCTGAATCCTCCTCTCAGCCTGGAACCCCCCACTGATCCTGCAGGTCGGTATCCTGGAGACCCACCTAGTCTGCTTCCACACGGCTTACACGCTTCGTCTGTGACGCGACCCCGCCCCTCCTCCCCTCCCCTCAACATTAAAAATCCACTCTGAAGAGCAAAGAGGTAAACAGAAACTAGAGGTCAGGGAAGGGCAACCACTGATGACCTTTGAGCAAATCCTCCAGAGGTGTGCTCTAAATGTAAACACACACACTTTAGCCCTTTTTTGCAAGACACACCATGCCGGCAAATCGGCGTAATATTACCGCAATGGTATGTCTATAAACGCGCCATGCCGGCATGGCGTTGCGCGAATTTTGCGGCATTCGTTCCTCCTCGCTTGGTAGTAATATCGTCGTATGCGCCTTGGCGCAACAGAGACAGATGTCATGATGACGTGGGGAGATTTATTGAAAATGAAAGTAAACACAGGCAATAAGGTTTGCTTTTTGAACAAAATCAGCTGACATGGCAAACTGGAGCGCCGCAGCGCTCCACGAGCCTCTCTGTTAGAGCTGAAGCTCAGATCACCAGGGACTGCACAGGGACTGATGGGGACAGACACCTTTAGGAGCTGCTTGTTAAAAAAAACGTAGTGATCACGGCTTCAATCGCAATAAAAAGCAAGTTATGTCCAAGATAAACGGAAGTCTGCGGCAGCGCAGAGACCGCCCCCATACCCCCTTTATGCCGCCATCACCTAATCTTTTATAAAATTGCCACGATTACGCCACATTACCGCCACGGTCTGATCTTATAAACGACCTTTATCCTCCCCAGGGAGCCGTGGCAAATCCCGTTTTGCAAACGCTTCGGTCCTGTAAAAACAGCTTTTGAGTTAAAAAGGAGCCAGCAACAGGCTCTCAGATGCTCACGTGGCTTTACTCTCTCGTCGTGTTGAATTAGAGAAGGCTGATCTGCTGACATCTCACACACCAAGGACACAACGCCCGCCTCTGTTCTGGATACAGTTTCATAAAGACCTCTTGTTTTGACAGGAACCTAAATAAATGTGAATCTAAGCAAACGAAGGGTTTTAAATCATCATCTGATGTCTGATCTATCAGCACCAGGCTGTAAATGATTATCAGACTTTAGCCTAATATCTGTCAATCTGACTGATTTGGAGCCATTTTTGGGTTAGCTAAGTTCGTTAGCTGTGGCGGCCATCTTTTGTGGTAATAAAAATCTGACGCGTGCGTGTGTGTGTGTGTGTGTGTGTGTGTGTGTGTGTGTGTGTGTGTGTGTGTGCCTGTGTGCTCAGCTGAAGAATCAGCCTCCTCCTGCCTGGTGAGCTACAACCCTGACCAGCTTCCTCCTGAAAACTCCTCCTTCCTGGAGAGAGCCTTCGTCTGTCGCTTCCGTTGCCTCTTGGACAATTCCTCTGGCTTCCTGGTGAGGACTTTAGCTTTTATCAGTAAAGAAAGTGACCCTAGCTCACCTTTTAACCATTTAGAGACCTCATGAGAGCGTTTAAAGGCCTGTTTGTGCTGCCGGCTTTGTGGCGTGCCACCTCGGTCCTTCAGAGATCAGAAACCAACGTTTGCTCCTATAATCCGCCTTAAGGGAACCTCGGGGTCGTGGGTAAAAAGGCATTAATCCTCCCACCAACCAGAAGGAACTTGGTTAGTCAGAGCCACTGCTGCTCCAGGTGATGGCTGATGTGTCCAGGAGCTGCTGACAAATCCTTCGTTTCCCATGATTCTCCACAGTTTGAGAAGAATATGAGAACTCTTTAACTGAAAGGAAAAATAACAAATACAGACTTTTTTCTCAGATTTCCAGGTTGGATCTAGTTCATCAGAACCCGACTGAAATATCGAAGTTTTAAAAGCTCTGAAATTCATCTTTACATTTTCTGTGAGATTTTGAAGGAGAACGTTATTATTTTTAACATGAAAGCAGAGGTGATGTCAGCACAAAGAGCCTCTTGAGATGCTCCAGTTGGACCCGAATGGAGGTCTGGACCCTGTTGGTTTGCGTGAGCAATAAGCCAAGTTTCTGCTCCTGTCTGCATTGGCTGTGGCTTGGTTTTTTATAATCCCTCCTGCTATTCAGGGCTGGAATCCTGATGCCGCAGCTACAGGTCCTTAAACCCACAATGGTCAATTACTCAGGGTTGGGGGGGGGGGGGGGGTCACATGAGAGGCCAGGAGGTGAGAAGGTCACTGCAGAGCAATGTTTCTGTCACTTAGACATGCTGGATTCAACAAGTCTAGAGGTATAAAAAGTCAACAACATATATGAGTTCCTAAGTTTGTAAGGATTCTCAGATACCGCTCCTTCACCTAAGGGAGAGGTGACGCTGTAGAAGCCGAGTAGTAGTGTGGATGCTAATGTAAACAGAAAGGAGGGGGTGCTTCGGGCTAACGCCGCAAAGGACTATGGGATTTGTAGTCTTTGCGGGCAAATCGGCCGGCGGGCCAGTTTTAATATAATTGATATTTGTCCTCGCATGCCAAATAAAAAAAGACCGCGGATCAAATTCGGCCTGAGTTTGACACCTGCGAGGTAGATGATGATAATGATGATGACGATGGTGGTGGTGGAGATGGTGCTGCTACTGATGACGGTGTTGGTGGTGATGATGATGATGGTGATGATGATGATGATGGGGATGATGGTGGAGATGGTGCTGCTGCTGATGATGGTGATGGTGGTGATGACGATGATGATGCAGATGATGATGGTGTTGGTGGTGATGATGATGATGATGATGATGATGATGATGATGATGATGCAGATGATGATGGTGTTGGTGGTGATGATGATGATGATGATGATGGTGATGATGATGATGATGATGATGATGACAATGGTGGTGGTGATGGAGGTGGTGATGATGATGATGTAGTTGATGGCGAGGACTGTGATGGTTATTGTGATGGTGATGATGATGATGGTGCTTTCTCTAATTATAATGATGATGATGATGGTAAGGATGATGATGATGATGGTAGTGATGATGATGATGGTGATGATGTTGGTGATGATGGTGATGATGAAGAAAATGATAATGTTGTTGATGGTGATGATGATGGTGCTGCTGCTTATGATGACGGTGGTGACGGCGAATGTGATGATGATGTTGATGATGACGATGATGACGATGGTGGTGGTGATGATGGTGATGATGATGATGATGATGATAATGGTGATGATGATGATGGTGATGATGATGATGAGGGTGGTGGTGGTGATGATGATGATGATGACGACTATGATGATGATGGTACTTTCTCCGATGATGGTGGTGATAATGGTGAGGATGAAGATAGTGGTGATGATGATGATGATGATGATGATGATGATGATGAGTCAGGTACTTTCTTACAGCCACTTAGCATCCAGGGCCGTCTGAAGTTCCTGCACGGTCAGAACAGACAACAGAGCGACGATGATGTTCTCATCAGCCCACCACAGCTCGCCCTGTTTGCTGTTGCCATGCCGCTGCAGCCACCGGCTATCTTGGAGATCCGGACCAAGAACATGATCTTCAGAACCAAACACAAGCTGGACTTTACACCGATGGCCTGTGATGCAAAGTATGTAACCCTGATCGGATTTCCCCTCTGTGGTGATGGTTGTAATGACATTTACGGTTGCTTCTGCTTGTGCAGGGGGAAAATAGTTCTGGGTTACACCGAAGCAGAACTCAGAGTCCGGGGCTCGGGGTACCAGTTCATTCATGCAGCCGACATGCTACACTGTGCTGAGAACCACGTACGGAGTAAGTCCCAGCTGCTTTCATTCTGCACTGAGAAAGAGTCTCTTCACACCTGAGGCTGGCTGCTCACAGGTCCAGCCCAGAGCCACTGGGATGAAAACTCTCCTCTGGGATAAAAAAAAAAGGTTCTTTAAAACAAACACAGATGCTTTCATTTACATAACAGGCTTCAAATGTTTCTAACTCATTGGATCTAGTTTGGATTATTTCTGCTCCAAATGGATTCAAAGCAGACTTACAGAACCAGAACCATGTTTTAAAACAACATTTAGTTTATAACAGGAGTTAAAGTGATCCCACAGCACCGTGTCCATAACACACACACACACACACACACACACACACACACACACACACACACACACACACACACACACACACACACACACACACACACACACACACACACACACACACACACACACACACACCATGGCTCTGCTGCTGATGGAGAAAATCTTTCAGTGAGTGTCCTACTTAGCGTTGTCCCAGATGACCCGGTTATTGGTCGCCATGGCAATCGTAATGCCTACACTTCTACTGCCACACACACACACACACACACACACACACACACACACACACACACACACACACACACACACACACACACACACACACACACACACACTTGTAATCAAACAAGAAATACGAGTGTATATGTTTAGAAACACACAACATGGATTTACAAACATTGGCTCCTATGCCATAACACACACACACACACACACACACACACACATACATGTATATATATACTTGTGAGGACACTGACCCTACCTATCTTTGTGAGGACATCCACTTCCTGCATAGCTGTAGTGTTGGGCCATGAAAATCTGACACTAGATGTGAGTGAAGAGTCAGAATCTCACTTCAAATTGTTGAAAAATCAAAGTAAAAAAAATATTTATTTGGTGTACTTGTGAGGACCCACAACCGTTGCTAGGCAGATTAGGTGATGTCCTCACAATTCTGTATTTCCTCCCTAACCAATTTTTGATTAAATTTCCACATGAAAAATTAAAAATTCTTAAACTTTCAAAGCAATTTTAACTAATCAAACTGTTTTTACAAATATGTAACACTTGTTTATTATCAAATTGGCAATAGCAAAGTAAAATTTTAACATCTTGAATCACAGAGAAGCTTTTAATGTTTGCCTATAAAATACTCTATCAGTTTAAAATTTTTATTTAGTTTTTCTTAAGAAAAAATAAAATATATTAGCTTAATTATTTTCTTGTTTGAGTGTGTAAGTTGCTAGATTTTCTTTATACTTTCAAAATGTTTTGCTTCTAATCCAAAGAGCTTTGTAATATTAAAGTGGAATGAGTGGAGCATCAAGCCCAAGTATTGTAGTGTGATTTTGGAGCTTATCCCTCTCCTTATTCTGGTCAGAATTGACAAAGCTCCTCAAATAAGAAGTGAAACATATTCAAATAACCAAAACAACTCAGTTGCCTCAACCCAAATCTACAAGGAATAACACAAACTGCATTTCGGAGAACCTTCACCAGGATTTAGCTTAAATAATATTAGATAAGGATTTTTTCTGTAATTCCCTATTCCAAGTTGTGCGGTGAAGTCTGAGCAGGTAACAGTTCATCGAGGCACCACACAAATGCTGCAAACTAAAAGGACAGACAATCATCAACATTAGGGATGCACAATCTGCATCAATAAGTTATTTTTAACATATTGGTATTGGTCCGATAAATAAAACTTGGTCAATATTAACAACAAATATTTTTTTTCCATTTTGTTTCCATTTGTTTATCTGTTTCAGATGGTTAGGGGGGTGGTGTGTATTTGTTTAGCCATGTGACAGTTATTTTAATATTCTCATAAGCGTAAATGTGTGTAGTGTGTGTACATAACAACGTAAATTCAGCTTTAATAATTTTCAATCAGTACAAAATTTGCTTATTTTAGAAGCATGTCAGTATATCTGTATCAGCAAATATCAGCTATCGGCCATAACAGTGATATCATCCATCCATCCATCCATTGTCGTCCGCTTATCCGGGGTTGGGTCGTGGGGGCAGTAGCCTAAACAAGGGAGCCCAGACTTCCCTCTCCCCAGCCACTTGGGCCGGCTCCTCCGGGGGAATCCCAAAGCGTTCCCTGGCCAGCCATGAGACATAGTATCTCCAGCGTGTCCTGGGTCTTCCTTTAGGCCTTCTCCCGGTTGGACGTGCCCGGAAAACCTCACCAGGGAGGCGTCCAGGAAGCATCCTAACCAGAAGCCCTAGCCACCTCAACTGGCTCCACTCGATGTGGAGGAGCAGCGGGTCTCTAAGGGAGAGCCCAGCCACCCTGCGGAGAAAACTATTTTTGGCCATTTGTATCTGCAATCTCGTTCTTTCAGTCACTACCCTAAACTCATGACCATAGGTGAGGGTAGGAACATAGATCGACCGGTAAATCGAGAGCTTTGCCTTCTGGCTCAGCTCTCTCTTCACCACGACAGATCGGTACAACGTCTGCAGTACTGCAGAAGCAGTGATATTAATATCAAATATTGGTATCGGCTCATCGACTAATAAACATAGAATGATTTTGGATGGTGAAAGGTATCAAATTATCCTGGAGGAACCCAGACATACATAGGAAAAATATGCAACCACCATAAAGACTAAGCTGGATTCAAACTGCATTCAGCCGTGCAGCTCCCTGTAAATCTTAGTTACAGACCATAAATAACAGGAAACATGACAGAAATTACTACAAAGTAGTTATTTTATTGAAGTAAAAAGGATTTCATTAAACTTTGCAATTGTGACTGCAACAGTTGAACTAAAATAAACTTTAGGCACCTTTAAACATTACATACATATATGAACTCAGCTCCTGTTTCTTTTAAAATTTAATATGTTTACTTTTTTTCTTTTTTGAGCTAAAATGCAGTTATACATGCAGTTTTTAAAATCTTTCTAATTCATCTGCTGATAAAATATAAATTTTAGATACCAAATAAAGTAAACACGGTGCATAAAATTACATAAATGAACTCAGATCCTTCTGCTTTGAAAAAGAAAATTTTCAAATATTGTTTTTATTTTCTTTTTGAGCTGTGATGCTGCTCTACTAGTAGTTCTGACATATTTCTAACTTCTAATAAATTAATACAACTTTAGGTACCATTAAATGCTCTGCATTTAACATTGCATGCATTAACTCAGCTTCTGCTGCTTTTAAAATAAAACATATCAACTACAGTTTTTTTTCTTTTTTGAGCTGTGATGTAGGCTTGCAGAGATTAACCAGTTTGACTATTAACCCCTGATAACCCCCCTTAAAGATGTCTACCACACCAACAATAAAAAAGGACTATGGCATGACCCTCATGGACAAAGACAAAAGTGAAACTGAACGTGCTCACGCAGCAGAAGCAGAACCAGTGACAACAACCTTCGGGACTCCTCCATTTCCACCTAAGAAGCGGTTGAAGTCTCCTGTGTGGGATGATATCTAATATATCTAAACTATTCCCACACAGGAGAATTCAACCTCTTCCGAGGTAGAAATGGAGGAGTCCCGATGGTTGTTTTCACTGATCATGCTTCTGCTGCGGGCGCGTGTTCAGTTTCAGTTTTGTTTTTGTACTTACGAGTTACGCTATTGTCTTTTTGTTTTAGTTTGATGGTGTTGAAGATCTATTTACTTGGGGTTAACCAGGGTTAATAGTCAAAACGATTAATCCCTGCAATGCTACTGTGATGCTGTTCTACTTATAGTTTTTAACATCTTTCCAACATGTAATAAAATTTAAATATCTTTAGGTACCATAAAATGCTCTGCTTGTAACATTTTTGATCTGCAATGCTGTTATAATTATAGTTTTTAACATATTTCCAATGTCTCATAAAATAAAAATAACTAGGTATCATTAAATGCTCTGCTTGTAACATTACATGCATTAACTCAGCTCCTGCTGCTTTTAACGCAAAAATTACAGCCTTTTTCTTTTTTGATCAGGGATGTGGTTATAGATGCAGTTTTTTACATCTTTCCAACTTCTGTTCTAAAGTGCTGTCTCTGTACTGAGTGCTTTCACACACAGCATTTTACCAGGAACTCTTTCAAGAGTGATGTACCGACCAAGCTGTTGCCAAACCGCTTCTTTCCCAGATTTGCTCCAAATCTTTCGGTTGAATTTCTTAGAGGTTAAATCCTGTTGATCCATGTCTGTAACAAAAAAAAAAAAAAAAAGAAACATGCTTTTATTAGTTAAAGTCATGACATCATGTTTAGGTTGTGTTTTCAATTCTGACTGTTTGGATTAGGGATGAGCCGGATACTCGTTTCAGAAGAGTATCCGGTACGGATAAAGCATTTTTGACAAGTGAAACGAGTAAAAATCGTAAATATCTGTAATCGTGCTGAAGGAAAATCCTCATTGGGTAACTGACTGTCTTCACGCTCTGTGATTGGCCAGTCAAATAGAGCACCCGCCCCTCCCTACACACAAAACTCAGCAGCCGGGAGCTCACAGCTCAGTCCGTGTCCGGTCCATCCAGAAAACTCCAAATCTTGCAAAAATTCATCTTGCAGTGCAAGGTTACAGACTTGGATCAGTGGGAAAACCCCTTTTCTAACCAGCCCAGTCAATTTCCTAAGATGGCAATATTTGGTTAGCTTTAGCTAGCATTTCATATTAAAAAGTGATGAAAAATACTCTGTAAGGATCCTATTTTTTGGTGACCTCAATAATCACAGCCTGCAAATGAAATAACAGGAAGGAATACAGGAGTTATTTTAGACCGGGGACTACATTACGACAACAAACTGCTGCATGGCGCTGCTGCAATGCACAAGAACATCACGCAGCAACCCCAAAAAGACACCTACATTTATAAACACAAATACATAGCTACTGGGCTTATATCTGGGCTTAGATTCCAGTTCCTGAAGGACCTTGGTTCAGCGTGGTTGGACCTACAGAAATATTTGAAATTAAATTACTTACTACAAGTTTTTCAAACGTCTGTAACCCCCAAATTCCACTACCTCCGCTCCGCTCCGCTGCGGTCCGCCTCCGCCTTCCGCAGCCGCTCGCTTCCGAACTCAATTTTTACCGGTATGCGCTCTACAACGGCTCCGCTCCGGTGCGGAGACCTGACGTGGGCAAACAAGCATGCGCGGGATTTTCAAGATCTTGCGATACAGTCCGAGCAATAAACGCGGAAGTTAGATCCAAACACCCGTTGTGTTGGAGAAGCATCGGCATGAACTGTTTAATCTGCCCATCATTTGTGTAGAGATCAGCAGTGTTTGGATCAACAAAGTGTGACTACTTTGATAGTGAAAACTGTATTTATGGCTAACTTTTGTGCATTTAAACTTCAGCCGCCACTGATAGTTGTTAAAAGTTGTTAAACCTGTGCATATGAAACAAAAAACGCCTTTTGTTTATCGATTTATTGTGAAAAACGGAAGTTGTGCTTGCTCCTTTTCCTGTTGGGCGATGGTGATTTCTGTCCATTGACTGCGGAGGTGCTCCGGCGTCCGGCGAAAATAGGATCGATTCTATTTTTGCCGGACGCCGGAACAGAGGACGGCGCACGGCGCCGCACTGCCGGAGCACAGCCGCAGTAGTGGAATTGCTCTGATTGACTACAACGGGACCGATTTTGCTCCGGCGTTCGTGTCGGAGCGGAGGTAGTGGAATTTGGGGGTTAGACAATGTTTCCCATCCCAAGCGTGAAGCTGACAACGGAGCTGGAGAGTTCCTTCAGTAGCAGACTTACGCATTCTAGGTGTATGAAGGCATTTTGTCATTAATCCTTCCTTTCTGCAGCTGTTAAACTTTATAACTACCAAGATCACCACAAACCAAGTAAACAGCTTTTTTATCCCTGCTGACTTTTGTTATTTGCACAGTTTCTGTGTTTATTATATAATATTAAATGCACTATCTTGGGCAGGATAACACAAAGCAGTGCTACGCCCTGTTGTCCTGGCGGGGAACTGCTTTACAACACTCCCCAGGAGACTGAGAAGTCCGAAAGCAAAACATCTCTGTCCGTGTGTGTGAATGTGGAAACCACGCACCTGTTTTGTCCTTTCCATTTGACTCCTTAGACCACTCAGCTCCTGAAGGTTCTTGGCTCATCATATCTGGATGATCTACAAAAACATTTTAGATTATATGGCTTAATACAAGGTTTTTTTAGACTCTGAACTGTAGCTAGGAAATGTATCAACAGATCTATAATTGTTGTTGATAAACAGAAAAAGTTTAGCATCTAACTGAAGGAAAACTGAAGTCAAGTATCTTTGTGCCTAAAATGTTAATATGGTAATGATTTGATGAACTTCCATCTTTCTATAAAGGTTTATGTGAACTCAAACATCCCAAATACATTTCTGTATTTATAATAAGGACAACAATGTGAAATTAATGGGAATAAATGGCCTGTATAGGTATAGCGCCTTCTAAGGCCCCCAAGGCGCTTCACAACACAATCTGCTGCTGTTGTTTCCTTGGGCAAGGCACTTAACTCGCTTTGCCTGCTGGTGGTGGTCAGAGGGACCGGTGGCGCCAGTGTTCAGCAGGCCACGACAGCAGCACTCTCTGGTTGGAGCTGGGATCAAACCTGCAACCTTCCGGTTTCTGGACAATCCTCTCTACCTCCTGAGCTACTGCTGCCCCTAAGTAGTTAAGTTGTTCATACTTGTTGTAAAATGTCAAACCTCAGTTTCTTTTTTTAAGGTAATCTCTTTCAGTCTTTTATGGGGAGAATGAATTGCATGTTAGCCATTTTCAGTTACTTAAATATTTGAAAATCTGAACCAAACCTTGAGTAAAACCATGGACAGTGAGCAGGGAAGGGGAATGGGTGGGTGTTCCTTTGTTGGTCTGCTTCTTCTTTGATTTCCCTGTAGGCCTTTGGGTGCACAAGGTGGGTTCATCTAGAGTGATATGAAATTTATGAAAAAAAAATCCACTTAAAGCATTATAAAAGAAACGGAGGCACGCCAATCTCAGTAAGCCATTGATCATTGACTGACCTTCAGAACTTTGGTCGAGCCCATTGCTTTTGTTTCTCAGCTTTTATCTTTTGAAAGATGCTGCAAAGAAAAGAAAAATAGATCTAATGTCAAGCTATAGACATAACAGTAATAATTTCCTTAAAGAGCAAGTCACCCCAGAGTATAACTTCACCCACACTTCCCATTTTAAAAATGCAACAAAAGGAGGAGTTGCCAGCTTCCCCATACTCTGATTTTTTCCATCATCTGTGTGTATTTTTAAATCCACTGAGTCATACTGTTTTCGCATTCTGATTCAGGTGTCTCAACCCACAATCATTACTAGGGGTGTAATGGTACGTTGAACTCGTATTCAGTTTAGTTCAATGTTTAATATTCCGTATATTATTATTATTATTATGATATTTATTTATTTAATATCTGAAGTGACTCGTTACAACCGAGGAATGCAGCAAAGCATTTGTGAAGCCACAACATGCACAACCTTGAGGTGGATGGGCTACAGCAGCAGAAGATCCCACGGGGCACCACTCATCTCCACTACAAATAGGAAAAAGAGGCTACAATTTGCACAAGATCACCAAAATATGATGAAGACTGGAAAAATGTTGCTGGTCTGATGAGTCTGGATTTCTGTTGAGACATTCAAATGGTAGTCAGAATTTGGTGTAAACAGAATGAGAACATGGATCCATCATGCCTTGTTACCACTGTGCAGGCTGGTGGTGGTGGTGTCATGGTGTGGGGGATGTTTTCTTGGTACACTTTAGGCCCCTTAGTGCCCATTGGGCATGGTTTAAATGCCACAGGCTACCTGAGCATTGTTTCTGACCATGTCCATACCTTCATGACCACCATGTACCCATCCTCTGATGGCTACTTCCAGCAGGATAATGCACCATGTCATAAAGCTCCAATCTTTTGAAATTGGTTTCTTGAACATGGCAATGAGTTCACTGTACTACAATGGCCCCCACAGTCAGCAGATCTAAACCCGATAGAGCATCTGTGGGATGTGGTGGAACGGGAGCTTCGTGCCCTGGATGTGCATCCCACACATCTCCATCAACTGCAAGATGCTATCCTATAAATATGAGCAAACATTTCTAAAGAATGCTTTCAGCAACTTGTTGACTCAGTAGCCATGTTTACATGCACCAAATTTCCTCAATCCAATTCAAATCTTGGTTGATCGGAATTTCTGAATCACTGTTCACATGGACACAAACTGAAATGATCTGATCATGCCGTGCTTATAAATGCATCAAGCATTTAATCCGATTAAATAGGTTGAGCATGCACAGAAAGTTGCCTTTCCCGGAAGAAAAATTGTAAACAAACACCATGAAACGAAATGAAAAATGTAAAAACAGAAATAACAATTCTTCCTGCTTTCCCGATTCATTTATTCACTTCAATATTTTTATTTTGCTCATAGAAGTTACGTTTTCTTCAGTGAATAACTGCAGATCTATGCTTTGCTGCATTTTTATTGTTGATTAAAATAAGGGAGGGTTATGTTTCTGCCTCTTCATCAGCTGGTCCGTGGGTCTGAATTGACAGATATGCCGTTGCGCTGCACTGTGGCGCAGAGTGGGGATGGGGGCGTTTAGACTCATGTTTTATTACTGAGCTCTGTTGTGGCTTATTATTCTTAACATGTGACAATCAGCTGAAACTGTTGAGAAAAATCTGTTTAAAATAAAACAACAGAAGACGTTCAGAAAGTTTAGAAGCCTGTGTTCATCATTAACGAACCGCATCTCAGGTCATCTGCGTTAATGTGCTTTTAACACGGACTTTACTGTTCAGAATATTTAACCGAGGATGTTTTCCTACCCAACATCAGCCTCCAATCAGGTCTGTAAAATTGATATTATCCTGTCTTCTTTACAAGCGTCTCTGGCGTCTCCATCACCTGCTGCAGAAGTTGCTGCGTTCAAAGCTGACAGAAACGGGGATCTGTGCGCTGCAACCTCCGCAATAAACTTGGGTATTTCCAGTACAGATTTGAAAATGTTTGTCGAGTGATTTGTGCAATAATCAGATTTTTATTTTACTTCTACAAAATGCAAGTTCTGAATTAAATATTACTGAAACGGGACGGCTTGTTATCAAATTTAAAAGCCTCTGCTCATTGATTACGCTGTCATTTTTGAAGTCAGGCAGTCCAAATGACAGCTGAGAGGCCCGCTCGCTGTTGCACACATGCGCAGTGGGCATTATTTTACCCCAACAATCCGAATAGCTGTGTACATGCACGTCAATCAGAATGATGATCGGACAAAACCACCTCCCTCAATCGAATTGCAATTTCAATCCGATCGGGCCAAATCGGATCAGAATATTTGATTAACATGTTTACATGCAGAATTTTTTATCTGATTGGGCGTTCAATCTGATGAAATATGCGCATGTAAATGTGGCTACTGCCACGTCGAATTAAGACGGTTCTGAAGGCAAAAGGGGGTCAAACACCGTATTAGTATGGTGTTCCTAATAATCCTTTAGGAAGAATAGAATAGAATACACTTTATTGATCCCACAGTGGGGATATTCACTTGTTACAGCAGCACCAACACTTAAGGGGATAATCAGAAGAAAATTATGATATAGGTACATGTATATACACATAGGCAGTAATCTAGTAATGTAACCTTCGACCACTAAAAAAACACGAATAAAAATGAAAAAAACTTGGGTTCCAACACTATGCAGCATGCTGTGACAACCTGGGCCGCATTCCGCTTGGCCTGCCGGTACCCATCAGCTGCCTCTGGAGTCCCACAGGCCAAACAGACCCTATAGGACTCTTTATCTTCAGCTTGACGGCATCCCTAACCGTTGGTGTCCACCAGTGGGTTTGGGGGTTGCCACCACGACAGACACCAACAACCCTGCGGCCGTAGCTCCAGTCAGCCACCTCGACAATGAAAGCACGGAACATGGCTCACTCGGACTCCATGTCCCCCGCCTCCCCCAGAACATTTTGGAAGTTCTGTCCGAGGTGAGAATTTAAACTTCTTCTGACAGGAGACTCTGCCAGACGTTCCCAGAAGACCCTCACAATACCTTTGGGCCTGCCAGGTCTGACCGGCATCTTCCCCCACCATCAAAGCCAACTCACCACCAGGTAGTGGTCAGTTGACAGCTCCGCCTCTCTCTTTACCCGAGTGTCCAAGACATGCGGTTGCAGATTAGATGAAATGTCAACAAAGTCGATCATCGAGCTGCGGCCTAAGGTATCCTGGTGCCAAGAGCACATATGGGCACCTTTATGTCTGAAAATTGTGTTAGTTATAGACAAGCCATGACGAGCACAGATATCCAACAACAAACACCACTCAAATTCAGATCAGGGGGGCCGTTCCTCCCCACCACACCTCTCCAGGTCTCACTGTCGTTGCCCACGTGAGCGTTAAAGTCCCCCAGCGGAATGAGGGAGTCACCAGAAGGAGTGCTTTCCAGCACCTCCTCCAAGGACTCCAAAAAGGGTGGGTAGTCTGAACTGTAGTTTGGTGCATAAGCACAGACAACAGTCAGAACCCGTCCCCCCACACGTAGGCAGAGGGAGGCTACCCTCTCGTCCACCAAGGTAAACCCCAATGTACAGGCACCAAGATGGGGGGCAACTAGTATGCCCACCCCGCTCGGCGCCTCTCAGTGGGGGCAACTCCAGAGTGGTAGAGTGTCCAGCCCCTCTCAAGGAATCTGGTTCCAGAGCCAGACCCATGTATTGATGTGAGTCCGACTATATCTAGTCGAGGTGACATTCCACGTACCGAGAGCCAGCTTCTGTAGCCAAGGATCAGACCGCATCTGAGCCTTCGGCTTCCACCCATCACACATTGCACCTGACCCCTTTGGCTCTTCCCACAAGTGGTGAGCCCATTGGAAGGGGGACCCACCTTTTCTCTTTGGGCTGTGCCCGGCCGGGCTGGGTGAAAGCCCAGCCACCAGGCGCTCGCCGACGTGCCCCACCTCCAGACCTGGCTCCAGAGTGGGGCCCCGGTGACCCACATCCGGGTGAGTGAACACTGTGTCAATTTATATTATTCATCATAATGGGTCATTGGGCTGCTTTTTGTCTGATCCCTCACCTAGGACCTGTTTGCCATGAGTGACCCTACCAGAGGCATAAGCCTCAGACAATATAGCTCCTAGGATCATTGGGACACACAAACCCTCTCACCGCGGTAAGGTGGCAACCCAGGGAGGGGCGTCTGGCGCAGTTACATGTGAAAACTCTCTCGGGATGTAATGGGCTGGAGACCAACAGCCAGTAACTCAATGTCATTTGTGCAGAGTTTATTTTTAATGGTCACATACGCTGGGTTGCACCATTTCTCATTATTAAACACAACCAGACCCCCACTCTTGCGCTTCACACTCCACGCTCCTGTCGGCCCACGTGAGTTTAAATTCTCCCAGTGAAACCTCAGTCAGCTATGAGCTCATCCGTCCACGTTTCCTTAAAAAATAACAGACTACACTGTCTTTAGTCTTGCTGCAACCTGGTCAGTGCTGTGAGCTTGTCCATCTTATTGAGAAGAGAACGGACATTTCCCATAATCACGGAGGGAAAGGGTGAGTGTAGGTTTCCGACAGAGAACCCAGCTTGCTGACTGGTGGACTGTCTTAGGCTGAATTTTTAAACTCTAAATAAGATGCACTAAAAAGCCATAATAATGACCACACATTTCTACAGCACTATTAGACACTCATTGATACAGTTTATCAGCAAAAAATAAGTTGATTTGGGGGTGACTTGCTCTTTAAGTGATGTCTGCCAATATAGTTAGTGGATAGACCAGGAGTCACAACAACTCATACAATCACGTGAATGTGGAAGTCACTCACCTGTTTTCTCTTTCTCATTGAAATCCTCTGGAATCCCAGCTCCTGAGGGGCATTGGCTCTGCATGTCTGGAAAGATGTCAGATTAGATGATTTAACACAAGTTTATCAATAATTTGAACTATGGCTATGACTATTTAGCAGAGTTATTAATAAAGTTAGCAAAGTTTGAAATATGAAGGGCAGTCTAAGGCACTCCTTTACATTATTCAAGCTGTCTAATCAGCCCCTTGATTTGCCACACCTTTGAGGTGGGATGGATTATCTTGGTAAAGAAAAAGTGCTCGAGAACACACATGTAGACAGATTTCAGAATAATATTTGAGGGTCATGGGTGTTTGGTGTATGTAGAAAAAGTTTCAACTGTTTGAGTTCAGCTCATGAAAAATGGGAGCAAAGACAAAAGTGTTGCGTTTATATTTTTGTTCAGTGTAGATAACCAATCTAGCAAAAAAGCCATGTTTGGTGTGTTACAGCTGGCCGTAAGAACTGGTTCTCTTAAAAGATCCAGGGTTCCCATCACTAGTTAAAAGCGTCCGGCATCCGGCCCAAAATGGGTCAATCCAATTGTGTGTCAGCACTTTGCTGTAGGGTGGGAGTTCGTTTTGACGATCGTATCAAGAGCCCTATCCTGGCAGCAGCCAGCTAGTGCCAGCCGGGCACTACCTTGCGCGTCCTTCAGTCAGTTCAAAATATTCTACCACACAGCCCTCCCTCTTTCAGCCGGTTTCTGCTGCAGAGAGTCCAGATCTAAATGTGTAGACTCTACACGAGGCTACACATACTGTAGAGATCTGGCTGCTGCTAGGTTAGGGTCTTACAGCTCGGCTCACTAAAATGAACCGGCTCTTTCGGCTCTTAAACAGCTCCTCATATTTTTCGTTTCCTAAATGAATTTATCACCAGAAATTATATAAAACTGTATGTAAACTGAATTACTAATCTACAATATACATTTTATCAAGTGTTTATTGTTTAAATAACTTATTTTATTCAACATGAAGCAGAGAGCTACATAAACACATTTTAAATGACAAAAACAAACTCTGCAAGTAAAATTTGTATTAGTTTTGAACTATTATAGCCTTTTGGATATATTTACCCTTTGCACAATCTACACTCTGTCTTTTAATTGTCACTGTAGTTAAAATTTGTCCAAACCATGGTGCCTGTCCTGTTTTCACTCATGTCCTCACCTTTCTGAAGCTTTGTTTGATTTTCCTTTCTCCTCTTACAGATTTGTCCCCACCAATATTTACAGGTCTTATCAGTTAATGTAATTTGTCTCACAGGCATTTTGTGCATGCCACCCCTCTCCCTGCCTTCACAGCATCGGAGCTCAGTGAAGCTGATCTCCCCCACTTGAAAAGTAAAAGCAAATAGGTTTGTGCCACTGTCGCCCCAATTTTAACTGCACAAACGAAGAACTAAAATGTAGACTATTTTGGAATGTTTTGGAGCATCACACAACAATAAAACTTGTTATATCTCAGAAACCATAGCAACACAAATTATATTTCAACAGCACAAACCAGCACAAACATAGCACTAAAAAGTAGACTACTTTGAACTGTTTTGGTGCAGTCTGGGTTAGGGTTAAGAATAACCTATAAAATAAAGTGTAATATCTCAGAAACTAACCGCACAGCCTATTTGCTTTTACTGGAGGTCAGCTTCACTGAGGCCCGCTGCACATGTGCGCTCAAGTTTTGCTGTGTTCTAGTGGCTCCAGGGCCTGCGGGTACAGTCTATGTAACTCACTTTGACTTCTCCAAGAGGGAGCCAGTTCCTGCAGAAGGGACCTTTCTCCTAACGGTCACATAAACAAGTCGGCTCTGAGAGCCGTTTCGTTCGTGGCCAACACGTCACTAGTGGTTTTTTTTAAATGTCAAAAACTGATTATTGTATCCACATTGCCTATGAAAGATTAGATTTCCCAACAAAATAATATTTCTCTCTTTTTAGATTTCATTGTACACCTTCCATCACACTGAATCCTTTTTATAATGTTAATGAACCCTATCACAAAATAGAACAACACTGCTCTGGTTGAAATGTACAGCATTATTAATGTTACATAAGACAAAACCATGTCCCTGATACAAAATTACTGAAAACTACACTTTGAGTCCTCACAAATGCAGCTCACTTCAGGCCCCGTAGCTTTACCATGCAGACAGCCACTTTGTTTTAATTTAAAAATAAGTTTTAAAAATGTAAGTAGGTAAAGCGTGTCTTTATTTCTTTAAACATACCTTAAAGTTGAAAGAAAACAATAGTCTCTGATAGAAAATTACCTAAAACTCACAAGCACAGCTCAATTCAGTTCAAATTGTTTTAGCATGATAAGAGCTGTAATTGTCTTATTAAAAAAAGTGTAAATGATTTCATGGAATATTTTAAATTATATGTTACCTTTTTGGGCTGTGGAGTTATTCCTCTTTTCCTCTGTAGAATTAGTCAAAGACTGACAAAGTTGGAGAGATCCAGGGCAGCTCCGGTACTTTCCATTTACAATGCACATGCTGCTTTCACGAACAATGAGACTGCAAACTTGATACATTAAAAATTTAGGGTTTTCCAGCTGATAATGTCTTAACAGACTTCAGGCATGAGCTAATTTCATGTGCAATATTTAAGCAATAATCATTTTACAGAAAACTCATAGCATTCACAAATAAACCTCTTTAGATGTTTTTATTTCAGTATAGTTGGACACACCAATTTTCCCTGAATGCATCATGAACTTTTGCTCCCCTGTCCAGTGCAGGTGCAGAGCCACTCCCCACCCCCACTCCCAAAAAAGTCTGTTTCTGCTGAAAACTAAAATCACACTTGACCATGTGAGTCTCATATGTATATATTAGATATTTATTAATAAATATATGAGCATATATTTCAACAGCTTACACACACATACATACATACACACACATTATATATATAATATTTATCCTGTTCATTTAATTTATTTTTTATGTATTGGGGCTCAACCAATGAATCAACTGTGATGGTGCAGAGAACAAGAACGTTCATACCTACAAACTCTGAAGGGGTGAAAACTGTGACAAATAAAATCAACCCCTGTAAATGGTCCTTGCATGCTGCAGATGTACATCAGTAAGTTTTATAGTGGCCTGGGGTGTCATTTATAAAGCTTGCTTACCCACAAAATGGGGTTGCAAAACTGCAAAAGTAACTTGCCATTCAAACTTTGGGATTTATAAAGGAAAAAGTAGTGGGGAAATGTGGGCAACTTTGAGTTGACCTAAGGAGCTGGCTTACGCACATTTTGGACATGGAGAGTTTTTGGATTTTGGACAATGTTAAAAGTATAGGAGCTTTTTTGGGGACATTTGAGGGGGCTCTTTAGACTAAGAATGACATATCAGAATGCAGACACTACCGCCTTAAAGGGAGGGTTATGACGATGAAGTGACCTGATTTCTGACCATTTACATCACTCCTGTGACCCACACCGTGACCTCAAAATTAGTGGAAAAGGCCATGTTAAAGTATGGGATCTTTTTGAAGAACATTTGGGGGGGCTTTTTTGCGTATGAATGACATATCAGAATAAAGACATGACCGCCTCGAAGGGAGGGTTATGACGATGAAGTGACCTGATTTAAGACCCTTTACATCCCTCCTGTGACCCACACCTTGACCTCAAAATTAGTGGAAAAGGCAATGTTAAAGTATAGGAGCTTTTTGAAGTACGGGGGTGGGGGAATTTTTTGCGCATGAATGACATATCAGAATGTAGAAATGACCGCCTCAAAGGGAGGGTTATGATGATGAAGTGACCTGATTTAAGACCATTTACATCCCTCCTGTGACCCACACCGTGACCTCAAAATTAGTGGAAAAGGCAATGTTAAAGTATAGGAGCTTTTTGAAGTACGGGGGTGGGGGAATTTTTTGCGCATGAATGACGTATCAGAATGCAGACACTACCGCCTTAAAGGGAGGGTTATGACGATGAAGTGACCTGATTTCTGACCATTTACATCACTCCTGTGACTCACACACTGACCTCAAAATTAGTGGAAAAGGCAATGTTAAAGTATAGGATCTTTTTGAAGAACGTTTGGGGGGGCTTTTTTGCGGACGAATGACATATCCGAATAAAGACATGACCGCCTCGAAGGGAGGGTTATGATGATGAAGTGACTTTATTTAAGACCCTTTACATCATTCCTGTGACCCACGCCGTGACCTCAAAACTTGTGGAAAAGGCAATGTTAAAGTATAGGAGCTTTTTGAAGTATGGGGGTGGGGTCTTTTTTGCGCATGAATGACGTATCAGAATGCAGATATGACCGCCTCAAAGGGAGGGTTATGATGATGAAGTGACCTGATTTAAGACCCTTTACATTGCTCCTGTGACCCACACCGTGACCTCAAAATTAGTGGAAAAGGCAATGTTAAAGTATGGGATCTTTTTGATCTCATGACACATCTGCGTGACCATCACCCACAACTCTACAGTAAACGCAAGGCAAGTTAACGTTAGCGTTTTAACTAAAATGCGTGATCCGAGGATTTGGGTTGAGGGAGAATGCAACGAGTTGCTATATAAAGCAGCCGAAACACTGCAACCTGCATGTAAACCGTGTCGCAGACACCCCCATATTGAAATGACGCTATGCATTATGGGGCTCCCAGGGACAGTTAAGAGTTGGTCTCTCTCCGAGAATAATTATGAATTTAACAATGATTACTGCCTGATGACATTTTCCCAAATTTGCAAAGCTCACCGGAAGGACACAAACCGAGGACAATTTTTTCCTGATATTCAGGGTTTATGTAGTTGTCTGAAAATGTAACACGTTTAAAAAAATACCACGATAATACCGAAAACCGTGATAATTTTGGTCACAATAACCGTGAGGTTAAATTTTCACACGTGACAATGCTAGACATGACCACCTCGAAGGGAGGGTTATGATGATGAAGTGACCTGATTTAAGACCCTTTACATCCCTCCTGTGACCCACACCGTGACCTCAAAATTAGTGGAAAAGGCAATGTTAAAGTATGGGATCTTTTTGAAGTACGGGGAAGGGGGAATTTTTTGCGCATGAATGACTATATAAAGCAGCTGCAGCACCGCTACCTGCATGTAAACCGTGTCGCGGACATCCCCATTTTGAAATGACGCTATGCATTACGGGGCTCCCAGGGACAGTTAAGAGTTGGTCTCTCTCCGAGAATAATTATGAATTTAACAATGATTACTGCCTGATGACATTTTCCCAAATTTGCAAAGCTCACCGGAAGGACACAAACCGAGGACAATTTTTTCCTGATATTCAGGGTTTATGTAGTTGTCTGAAAATGTAACACGTTTAAAAAAATACCATGATAATACCGAAAACCGTGATAATTTACGTCACAATAACCGTGAGGTTAAATTTTCACACCGTGACAATGCTAGACATGACCACCTCGAAGGGAGGGTTATGATGATGAAGTGACCTGATTTAAGACCATTTACATCCCTCCTGTGACCCACACCGTGCCCTCAAAATTAGTGGAAAAGGCAATGTTAAAGTATGGGATCTTTTTGAAGTACGAGGAAGGGGGAATTTTTTGCGCATGAATGACTATATAAAGCAGCTGCAGCACCGCTACCTGCATGTAAACCGTGTCGCGGACATCCCCATTTTGAAATGACGCTATACATTACGGGGCTCCCTGGGACAGTTAAGAGTTGGTCTCTCTCCGAGAATAATTATGAATTTAACAATGATTACTGCCTGATGACATTTTCCCAAATCTGCAAAGCTCACCGGAAGGACACAAACCGAGGACAATTTTTTCCTGATATAGGGTTTATTACTCAAGTAAGGGTAAAAAAAAGTATCTGATTAGAAGGCTACTTGAGTACCGAGTATCATCTGATCTAATATTTTTAAAATGATGACATCAAACAGACAAAAAATAAGAAGTTATGGGCAAATATGCTAGAAATGACCGCCTCGAAGGGAGGGTTATGAAGATGAAGTGACTTGATTTAAGACCCTTTACATCCCTCCTGTGACCCACACCGTGACCTCAAAATTAGTGGAAAAGGCAATGTTAAAATATGGGATCTTTTTGAAGAACATTTCGGGGGCTTTTTTTGTGTATGAATGACTTATAAGAATAAAGACAAGACTGCCTCGAAGGGAGGGTTATGATGATGAAGTGACCTGATTTAAGACCATTTACATCCCTCCTGTGACCCACACCGTGCCCTCAAAATTAGTGGAAAAGGCAATGTTAAAGTATAGGAGCTTTTTGAAGTACGGGGGTGGGGGAATTTTTTGCGCATGAATGACATATCAGAATGTAGAAATGACCGCCTCAAATGGAGGGTTATGATGATGAAGTGACCTGATTTAAGACCATTTACATCCCTCCTGTGACCCACACCGTGCCCTCAAAATTAGTGGAAAAGGCAATTTTAAAGTATGGGATCTTTTTGAAGTACGAGGAAGGGGGAATTTTTTGCGCATGAATGACTATATAAAGCAGCTGCAGCACCGCTACCTGCATGTAAACCGTGTCGCGGACATCCCCATTTTAAAATGACGCTATGCATTACGGGGCTCCCAGGGACAGTTAAGAGTTGGTCTCTCTCCGAGAATAATTATGAATTTAACAATGATTACTGCCTGATGACATTTTCCCAAATTTGCAAAGCTCACCGGAAGGACACAAACCGAGGACAATTTTTTCCTGATATTCAGGGTTTATGTAGTTGTCTGAAAATGTAACACGTTTAAAAAAATACCATGATAATACCGAAAACCGTGATAATTTACGTCACAATAACCGTGAGGTTAAATTTTCACACCGTGACAATGCTAGACATGACCACCTCGAAGGGAGGGTTATGATGATGAAGTGACCTGATTTAAGACCATTTACATCCCTCCTGTGACCCACACCGTGCCCTCAAAATTAGTGGAAAAGGCAATGTTAAAGTATGGGATCTTTTTGAAGTACGAGGAAGGGGGAATTTTTTGCGCATGAATGACTATATAAAGCAGCTGCAGCACCGCTACCTGCATGTAAACCGTGTCGCGGACATCCCCATTTTGAAATGACGCTATACATTACGGGGCTCCCTGGGACAGTTAAGAGTTGGTCTCTCTCCGAGAATAATTATGAATTTAACAATGATTACTGCCTGATGACATTTTCCCAAATCTGCAAAGCTCACCGGAAGGACACAAACCGAGGACAATTTTTTCCTGATATAGGGTTTATGACTCAAGTAAGGGTAAAAAAAAGTATCTGATTAGAAGGCTACTTGAGTACCGAGTATCATCTGATCTAATATTTTTAAAATGATGACATCAAACAGACAAAAAATAAGAAGTTATGGGCAAATATGCTAGAAATGACCGCCTCGAAGGGAGGGTTATGAAGATGAAGTGACTTGATTTAAGACCCTTTACATCCCTCCTGTGACCCACACCGTGACCTCAAAATTAGTGGAAAAGGCAATGTTAAAATATGGGATCTTTTTGAAGAACATTTCGGGGGCTTTTTTTGTGTATGAATGACTTATAAGAATAAAGACAAGACTGCCTCGAAGGGAGGGTTATGATGTTGAAGTGACCTGATTTAAGACCATTTACATCCCTCCTGTGACCCACACCGTGCCCTCAAAATTAGTGGAAAAGGCAATGTTAAAGTATAGGAGCTTTTTGAAGTACGGGGGTGGGGGAATTTTTTGCGCATGAATGACATATCAGAATGTAGAAATGACCGCCTCAAATGGAGGGTTATGATGATGAAGTGACCTGATTTAAGACCATTTACATCCCTCCTGTGACCCACACCGTGCCCTCAAAATTAGTGGAAAAGGCAATGTTAAAGTATGGGATCTTTTTGAAGTACGAGGAAGGGGGAATTTTTTGCGCATGAATGACTATATAAAGCAGCTGCAGCACCGCTACCTGCATGTAAACCGTGTCGCGGACATCCCCATTTTAAAATGACGCTATACATTACGGGGCTCCCAGGGACAGTTAAGAGTTGGTCTCTCTCCGAGAATAATTATGAATTTAACAATGATTACTGCCTGATGACATTTTCCCAAATCTGCAAAGCTCACCGGAAGGACACAAACCGAGGACAATTTTTTCCTGATATAGGGTTTATGACTCAAGTAAGGGTAAAAAAAAGTATCTGATTAGAAGGCTACTTGAGTACCCAGTATCATCTGATCTAATATTTTTAAAATGATGACATCAAACAGACAAAAAATAAGAAGTTATGGGCAAATATGCTAGAAATGACCGCCTCGAAGGGAGGGTTATGATGATGAAGTGACCTGATTTAAGACCCTTTACATCCCTCCTGTGACCCACACTGTGACCTCAAAATTAGTGGAAAAGGCAATGTTAAAATATGGGATCTTTTTGAAGAACATTTCGGGGTTTTTTTTGTGTATGAATGACTTATAAGAATAAAGACATGACCGCCTCGAAGGGAGGGTTATGATGATGAAGTGACCTGATTTAAGACCCTCTACATCCCTCCTGTGACCCACACCGTGACCTCAAAATTAGTAGAAAAGGCAATGTTAAAGTATAGGAGTTTTTTTGAGTACATTTGAGGGGGCTCTTTAGACTAAGAATGACGTATCAGAATGCAGACAATACCGCCTTAAAGGGAGGGTTATGACGATGAAGTGACCTGATTTCTGACCATTTACATCACTCCTGTGACCCACACCGTGACCTCAAAATTAGTGGAAAAGGCAATGTTAAAGTATAGGAGCTTTTTGAAGTACGGGGGTGGGGGAATTTTTTGCGCATGAATGATGTATCAGAATGCAGACACTACCGCCTTAAAGGGAGGGTTATGACGATGAAGTGACCTGATTTCTGACCAGTTACATGACTCCTGTGACCCACACCATAACCTCAAATTTAGTGGAAAAGGCCATGTTAAAGTATGGGATCTTTTTGAAGAACATTTGGGGGGGCTTTTTTTCCTTTTGAATGACATATCAGAATAAAGACATGACCGCCTCGAAGGGAGGGTTATGACGATGAAGTGACCTGATTTAAGACCCTTTACATCCCTCCTGTGACCCACA